GTGTGTGTGTGTGTGTGTGTGTGTGTGTGTGTGTGTATAACTAGAACAATATATTAATACCAATACGCCTTCACGTCCGCAGGTATACATAGGCACACCAGACGGCGGCTCCTTCAACGAATCTGAGTATGTCAATCCACAACCCATCGACGCCACAGACGAAGTACCGAACATCTCCACTGGGAATGTGCACCGAGACGCACCAGCGCACACAGCTGCTGCACTGGAACAAAGCACTGGTCAGGAGGCACACGAGGCTGTTGTGGTACCTAACAAAGGTGGTGGATGGGGGCAGAAGTGCATGTGTGTATCTGTGTGTGAGGTATTGTATTATATGTACGTGTGTGTACGTATGTTATATGTATAAGTGTGTGTGTGTGGTTGTGTATTGTATGTACGTGTGTATGTATATTATATGTATAAGTGTGTGTGTGTGGTTGTGTATTGTATGTACGTGTGTGTATGTATATTATATGTACAAGTGTGTATGTGGTATTGTATTATATGTACGTGTGTGTGTGTATATGTATCATATGTATGTGTGCTCTTGTATATTGTATGTGTGGTTGTTTCTGTATATTGGATAGATATGAGGGATGTACGGGCGTGTTTGTATATCAGTCACTACCTACACCTACTGCCAACACTGCAGATGAGTCACATCTTGCAAGCACGTGGTAGTAAAAGGGCTCGGGCGTTCTGGTGCACTCTATGCAGGTGTCGCACGGGGTTTTATACCCACAACCCATATACCTGCCACCTGCATATCGACCACCTATACACCTACCTACTACTACAAACTCATACACAGTGCGCAGAGCTCATCCACTCGTCTGCTCACCCCAGACACTCCACTGTACAGTAAGTACAAACACACACCACACACTGACCTTCACACCCCTCAACCCACACAATACAACAGACACCTCACTATACAGTCAATAAACACACACACCACACACTGTCCTTATACAACAGACACCACACACTGACCTCCTCACCCCTCACCCCATACAATACAACA